CGGAGGGTGAAGACACCTAGCAGAAAGCTCTCTGTGCTCCACGCGATGTGACACGCTCTGTTAGTCTGGAGACTGAGCTCAGTCGGACCACACCGGAGGATGTGGCAGGAGAACCCAGCTGATATCCACACGGCAGGCTGGGACGCTTCTCTGCCAGGCTCTGCCCACTCACAAGGACAAGGTCCCAGGCAGCCCCACACCCCAACAGAACCTCACTAGCGCTTTGCTCTGCTCCTAGAATATCTTGTAACACCCAACAGCTGCCTAAAATGAATTCCTAACTTAGGTGTATGTTGGTCGGTGGAATTTTCAAATTCCTCCTTCTTTCTTTTTTTTTTTTTTTAAGATTTTATTTGTTTATTTATTTGTCAGAGAGAGAGAGAGACAGACAGACAGACAACACAAGCAGGCAGGGTGGCAGGTAGAGGTAGAGAGAGAAGCAGGCTCCCTGCTGAGCAAGGAGCCCAATGCAGGACTCGGTCCCAGGACTCTGTGATCAGGATGTGAGCCGAAGGCAGTGGCTTAACCAACTGAGCCACCCAGGCATCCCTCAGATTCCTCTTTCATTGTGAGTGAAGTAAGATTTCCTCAGCCCCAAGGCTGCCCCCAGATCTCACATAGGGACTACGTCCTTCCCTGAGCATCTGCTGGTCCTGTTTCCCCCCAGGGCAGCTCTGCAGACGGGGAGCACATACATATCACCCCCAAGTCTCTGAAACCAAGACAGGGACAGCATATCTGGGAATGACCTTTCTACAATCTGTCCTCTAATGCAGCCATTCATTAGAAAGCTACCTCCCAGCACAGAAGTGGTCCCTGGAAAATCCTTCCAGGATTCTCACATCCATCTGGTAAGAGGAAAAGAACCTAAGAAACTGGGCTGACTTCATAACCAGTTTCATTTCACACATGTTACATTTCTGGAGCTGCCTTATTTCTCCCCTTATCCTGCATAACTGCAGAGAAAATTCATAGGCTCTCTGAAAGTGAGAATCTCACCCATTACTAACAAAATCTCACTCTATATTAAGTTGGCCTTTCTCTGGAGACGCTCCAACTGCTTTATAAACATCCTCTCTCGCCACAAAGCAGGTAGGTGGTAATTTTCCTTTCTGGACAAGGGGAGAATGGACCATCTTTAGCCACCCAAGATGGAAATGTTTTTAAATGCCTGAGAGAAAGTAAAAGCAAGGCTTTAAAAATAAGAGATAGGACAGATGTGACCAAAAATAGGAGTAAGAATGGTATACAAAATACCAAAAAAGGAGAATTCTCCTGTAATCGGCTCACTCTCAGCAACAGCTTCTTAGAAGAGGCCCCTCGGTGCTCTAGTGGCTGGATGGCTTCGCCACGGGCCCTGGCCCAGAAAATCAGGCCTGGTGAATTTAATTTTGGCACAAGTAAGAGATTTTCTCCCTCTCTCTGATCTTTGCCAGAGACAGGATCAACAACCCTAACTCCATAAAGTACAAGCTGAAAGCAAAGGGAGGCATCCAGACTCAAAGCCACTACCACCAGGACTTGGGTTCCTGTTTCCTGATGACACGAGGGTGTCACCCGCGAGCTGGGCTCTAGCTGACAAAGACCCCCCCTCCCCCCACCGCTTTCCTCTCGATGCTGGCCCTGAGTGGGCCTGGTGTTTCCACCACAGAGGAAACTGAGGCCCCACAGCAGAGGCCACTGCAGCTCCGCCCGACCCATGTTTCCCTTGATGCTTTCCCTGCACCGCCGTCCTTCCTGTTCCGTCTTTTTCCCTCCGGAAGAGTTGACAAGAAACTTTAACTTCTTTAAATGCCGCCATGGACACAGCATGGATTTGGTGATCTCAACTCTATTGCTTGCTGGCTACAGACCCGGGAAGTCATTTATTGAGTCTGTGCCCCCGTTAGACGAAGGTAGCAGGAGCTGTCCTGCACAGGGGTCAGGAGGACCGAGCGAGTGTCCCCTTCATACCTAGCCCGCGGCCTGCCACCCCGCGGGTGCTCAGCAGCAATGGCCACTGCCGGCTTCCTCAGGGCAAAAAGGTGTGCAGCCGGGCCTTGTCGCCGTTCCTGATTCCCGCAATGCTCAACGTGGCAAAGCCGCCACGGCAAGGTCCCAGCCTACCTGGTCTTCAGTTTTGCAGAAAACTGAGAACAGAAGGGGCAGTTTCGTTAACTGTACAACAGCTCATGTTGGCAAGGAAGTGCAAGCTGGCTTCCTGGGGATTCCACCGTGAGGAGGGCTAAGGTGGGCCCTTCTCCACCGTCCCCAGCTCCTTAAAGACCCCAGAGCCTTCTCAGTTACACCGTCTCCAGAGCGGGAGAACCAGACTCCCTCCAGGGAGCTGTTGTAAAGATTAAGTAAACTAAGCGTGTCAGGCAATCAGCGGGGGTCTCTACACAAAACCAGGTGTGGCACTACTCCCTCCATGCTACACTGAGAAAAGCCAGGTCTGGACAGCAGCTGAATGGAGAGGAAAGAGTAGCTGCTTTCGGTGGGGTGGGGGTGGGGGTGAGGGGGTCGGGGAGACCCCTGCCTGAGGCCCTGCTCATCCTCCGGGGATCCCTCCCGCCGCCTCCCTTCTGGCTCAATCCTGTTCCTCACTCACACATCTTCCTCTTTCTTGGCTTTCCTTTTCATTTTGCTAAAGCACATCCTGAAGGAGTTTCAGAGAAATGACGCACAGGAGCTGAACGTTTTGAGTCTAGCCTGACTGAAAATATCTCTGGTTCTACTTGCATGCGCGGCTGCCTGTGGCTCCAGGTTGGAATCCTGCTCCTTAGGAGGTTAGTGGCCTTGCTCCAAGCCTTGAAGTTCCCAGTGCTACTGAGGAGACGTCAGAAACCACTGATTCCTAATCCACCATGTGCCTTCTGGAAGTGTGAAGACTGTTCGCATTTTCACACAGATATGCCTAGAGGGCTCCTCCCTCCCTGTTCTGGGCTCTGACCAGCCTTCAATCTGGAGACACGAGTGGTTCAAGTTCAGGGACCATCTTGTCCTCATGACGCCCTCCTGTCTTCCATTCATTCTTTCTGAGGCGCCTGTCCACTGACTGATGGGCCTGAAGGATTCATCATCATGTCTGTGATCTGTTTTCTACTTTTCTATTGTTTCGCTTTTTTTTTTTTTAAGATTTTATTTATTTATTTGACAGAGAGAGATCACAAGTAGGCAGAGAGGCAGAGAGAGGGGGAGGAAGGCTCCCCGATGAGCAGAGAGCCCGATGTGGGGCTCGATCCCAGGACCCTGAGATCGTGACCTGAGCCGAAGGCAGAGGCTTAACCCACTGAGCCACCCAGGCGCCCCATCACTCAGAAGAATTAAATGTAGTTTCTTTTCTTTCTTTTTTTTTTTTTTTTTTAAGATTTTATTTATTTGAGAGAGAGAGAATGACAGAGAAAGAGCATGAGAGCAGAGTGGTCAGAGGGAGAAGCAGACTCCCGCTGAGCAGGGAGCCCAATGTGGGACTCAAACTCGGGACTCCAGGATCATGACCTGAGCCGAAGGCAGTTGCTTAACCAGCTGAGCCACCCACGTGCCCCTAAATACAATTTCTTTAAAGCTTCTTCTGCTGTCTGCATTACTCCGGTTTCCTCTCTAAGTCCTCTTCTCTGCTTGTTTTGGTCTCTCACTTTGGAGGCTGTTCACTCATACTTTGGCGTGAGGTGCCCAGAGTCACGGAGGGGCTGACCCATGGAGGGGCTGGGAGAGTGGGCTGTGGGCTGACAGTGTCCCAAGAGGCCCCCACAGGTCTCTGGGGCCATTCAGTTTCTACAGTTGAAAAAAAAAAAAGCTCCAATCTGACTCCGTGGTGACAGCCTAATAAGCATGTCTGCCAGGGTCCAGGGAGCTGGGCTAATGGGGGACCAGGGATCCCCAGTCAGGATGCTTGCCACCAGCTTGTTGGAAGCAGGAAGAAATGGGTGATGAATTCGACAAAAGTCCCCAAGAGATTGCAAATGAGCCCAGGTAAAAAACTTAAGAACAGTAACAGCTTTTTAATTTTACCATTTCCAACTGAAATCTCTTACAAGTGAAGACGGGGAGAGAGACCCAGAGCCTTAAGGATCTGGTTCTTGTCCTTCCCCGTTTTAACTCCTACACAATGTTCCCTTCTTTCTGCCCCGCCACGGCCAGACGTACGAACCCACCATCATCACCATTTCAAGAATGATGAGCTACTTTTTCACTTGTTATTTGCTTGCTGACAGGAGAAATGAGAATGGCACTGCTGTTTGCGACCTTGACCTGCTCCGGTCACCCATGACCTTTTGAAGCCGGGGGAGAAAAACAGGAAAGGGAGGCTGGGGCCATCCCAGTGTGTATTCCCCTTGTGGAAGAAGCCAGGCAGCGGGGTCACAAACACCCCCTCAGGCTGCCCACTTGTTCAGAATTCTGTTCCCACAGCAAGGAAGGCCCAGAGCTGCCAAGCACAAGAAAGAACCCCGTTCACCCACGTTACCCGGCACCTGCCACAGGCAAGAGTCCCAACTCCACGTTCCCACTTGCTTAAAAAGCGACTTTTTTTAGGCTTTGCATTTGGGAGCATAAAAGGCCTTTAAATATTCATGGCAATTTCTGTGCTTTGATTATAGGTTACCTTGCTGTGTAAGACAGGCCTGGAACATATTTATTAAATATTCTAAGTTTAAATGCCCACCATAATTACCAGAAACAGATGATTCTATGTAGTTTATAAACTTGAAAACTGAAGTCAGGGGCCCTTAAGAAGATGAACGCATTTATCCATTTTGTCCCACAGCCGTGTATATTTAAAATGCCCACTTGAATTCAAAAAGCCATGTTACTGTAAGAATTACAATTCTAAAATTTATTCCAAAGTGACCAAATGGGTATAGAAAATATAATTCCTTTAGGCACCACATGAGCTTTGAAATGTATTTCCAGACGAGCAGACACACCTCGGCTACCCTCTACAGGCTACCCTGCCGACTAAAGGAACTGCACGCACTTGACCCGCGGCCTGACAGCTGCACTTGTGTGATGACACTTACCAGGTTTTTGAAAAGTGCTGTCAACTCCTTTGTAAACACCGAGAACTTCAGGAACGCACTTCCTAAATCCGGGTCATCTCGGCACACGCAGTTGCCCCCAAACTTCTCCAGAGCCTGGGTGTACTGCTCCTCGTTTTCCACGTGAGCTATAACAGCAGTGGGAGACGCCCCGTTAGTACAGCAACCTCTCCAACCTCTTGCTTAACAGCTTCTTCCTAAGTTGTGAATAAAACTGAACACATTAGCAGGATACGAATCTGAAAAGCGTCGAGCTGCACCAGGAACAGAAATCACTTCGCTGTCCTGACAACGGTCCCGTTGCACTGGCAACAGATCCCAAGGAAGGAGCGCGACGACGACCAAGATGGAAAGAGCCTCCTTGAACAAGCCCCCAGCCTCCAGCATGTCAGATGAGGCGCCAAGGGTACCCCGAGGCCTCCCACATCTCCTAGGACCCCTCTGTGGTGTACAAGATGGCAGGAAGCACCAGCCCCGCCAGGAGACTCGGTCCTCTCCTAGAAACTCAGGAAGACATGCCCGCTCCTCTCTAGTGAGCCCTGAACCAGAAGCCACATGCCACGGCTCTCCTTTCCACACGGCAGGAGCTGTGGACCTTGGAGCACAGGCTGGGGCCACAAAGGTCAACGGAGTGTCTCTTGTGTTCTGCTCATAAACATCCTCTGTTCAGGTGCCCTGCCTTCCCCGACTGCTATACATCCCACAGATGTCTCCTTCCTCCAGGAAGCCTTCCATGACTCTGTCCTGTGCCCCTGTCCTTGGTCTCAGCATGGACATTGAAATTGGGAACGTATGTCTCAACGTTAGACATGTTTAGAAGACAGGGACTAAATTTTACTTATCTTTGTGCTTTAAATACAAGACAACACACTGTTGTCCGAATAACAACAACAAAAAGCAAACCCGTGTAATCTATCTGACAGCATTTTACTATCATTAGGCCTTAATGCATGGAAACCTGGATTCTGAGTCTCCCTCTCAGTGGTTCCCAATCCCTTTTGGACACCAAAATGATAACATAGATCTTATCAGACTGTAGAAGCCGCCACCCTGCTTCAGAACTCTGATTCAGAAATGGAGGCAGGTGGAGGGGCCCAGGTAATTCTAGTAAGTTAATGTGGTTGACTATAATCCCCGTACTTCTAGGTCATTTCTAAGTGAATCCAGCCAGTCTGTGATAAAACAACTGTTGTTTTCATCAAGCACCTGATTTCTTTTTTTTTTTCTTGATTTTATTTATATATTTGTCAGAGAGAGGGAAACAGAACACAAGCAAGAGGAGTAACAGGAGGCAGAGGGAGAAGCAGGCTCTCTGCTGAGCAAGGAGGCCGAAACGGAACTCGATCCCAGGATCATGACCTGAGCTGAAGGCAGATGCTTAAATGACATCTGAGTCCCAGGCGCCTGATTTCTACGTTTTCCTCATTTCAACGAGAAATGTAACACGACCACTTTGTAAGCACCACGGGGCAGACAGACATGTAGCATAAACTTGTATGTGAATGCCATCAGATTCTTCCTCAGGTAAATTAAACCACTGTCGGCCAATGCCAATTCCTGGGCCTGGTGACCGGGGAAACATGAGGAACATTTATTTGTGACGGGCAGCCCTTGACCCCAAGCCAGATTCCTGTGATCCATGAATGGTGTGCCTGTCCATTGTACCAGGGAGGAGCTATGCCCTAGACCTCCAGTACTGGCCTCTGGGGATTCCAACGTTGGCCTCACAAATATAAGAGAAAATTAATTTCGCTGTTCGAGCCCTTTTCCTTGTTTTTTTCTTTGCCATTTCAGAAAAGGACCTGAGAGTTCTAGATAAATTAAATGCATTTCTGAGACTACACTCAGCAAACAAGACAGAAAAACACACACAGGGGCCCTGAAGAATGTGTGTCAGAGTAGGAAGCGCTCCCAGAAGATCTGGGTTCCAGGCCCATGCCTTTCAGGGGCGTGGGACTGGTGAGTAAATGGTCAAATGTCTCAGCCACATGAAGGTTAGAGATCCGCTGTGAGATACTCACAAGGTTAGGGTAAGAAGCAAAGAATAGCGTGGGGACACGAGCTCAGCCACGCTCAGCAAAGATCCAACAGCACACACGGTAAACAGGAGCACGATGTCATTTCTACGGAGTACGGACAATGTATCCTTTTTCTACACCTCACAACAACTTTGTAATAAGACCTACGCATTCTTCCTCATCATGGTGAACATAAGTCGGGGCGCTCAAAGATATCAAATATTTGTCCTGGGAAACAGGGCCGGCAAGCGGCCAAGCCGGGCTTCATATCCAAGTGCATTTCACCCCAAAGCCCACTGTGCTGCTCTGTACTAGTGTTCGGTTCAACAAGAAAAACAGCTTCCCTAGCCCAAACAGGGGCCCACGTTTTAGATTTTTAAAATTCTATTTCAGAGATGGGTCAGTTACATCGTCTAGTTCACTTCAGTTAGAAAATTCGAGCACATGTGGTTTAACAGCAAAGGAAAGCTCCTTCCAAACCACATGCTCTTTTATAACTGTTTCAGAGTTGGTGGCCAAGACGTGGGCAATTCCAGCGTGGCTTTGGAAGGGAGTGACAGCCACAGCAGACATCTGGGGCTGAGGTCTCCACTGGGTTAGAGAAACAGGATACAAAGGCCAAAGTCGCCTTGGGAGCCACGTGGTGCCCCCCAAAATCGTGCCTGTGCCGCTCTACGCGAATACCCAAAAGGCAGGGGGAGGGAATTCCCTGTCGTTAATGCCGATTAGGTGGCCTTTAAGCCTTTGTTCAACTTAACTTGGTAACACTGTGAGGTCTTAATATTATCATCCCTATTATCTTCTGAATAAATCCAGTGGAATTCAGAGGGCTTAGAGACTTGCCCGAGATCACACAGTTGGTAAGACGTAGGCAGGAATACCACTCTTTTCACCTTGCGGGCTGCCTCACAGCCCGTGGTCACCAGTTGGGAGGAGGAACCTATCTTTTCCCTTCACTGGCAGTCAGCCAACTGCACACAGAGGAGGAATAGCAAGACCTCACATTACGGCACCAAGAAGTACCAACAAACCTCCTATCACCCCTCCTTCTGGGCTTCTCAACTGACTGGGTATAGGGTGTTTTTAAAAATTCTTTCCCTTACAGGGCACCTGGGTGGCTCAGTGGGTTAGGCCTCTGCCTTGGGCTCAGGTCATGATCCCAAGGTCCTGGGATCGAGCCCCACATCAGGCTCTCTGCTCAGCAGGGAGCCTGCTTCTCCCTCTCTCTCTGCCTGCCTCTCTGACTACTTGTGATCTCTCTCTGTGTCAAATGAAATAAACTAATAAAAATCTTTTTTAAAAAATTCTTTCCCTTATAAGTCTTTGAAACAATGTGTTGATTCCCACACTCTAATCATGATCCGTGAAGTTCTGAGCTCATCATCACCATGATTTCCTATACTTATATTTAAAGTGTTCTGATCCACTGTAATCTACTTTCTGATGCTCAAATTGTCCCAGCTTCGGTCAGTGGAAACTTCTTCATGCTGATCTACTTGGGGTTTTTAACACAAATTTCTCTTCTTGCAAACAGATTTGTAACTTCTTGATAAATATGAGAGCCTCGTATCTCTCCGTGTCTTCCTGAAACACCCAGCAGGGTCCCCACCGTAGGAACAGTAAACCCTCCACAGATACGTATTCACTGACTGAGCTACTGCTCCAGATCGCCCGAAATTTGAGATTTTCCTACTCGAGAACAGAAAGTTGTTGAGTGCCTTTATCTTTCTTTTGCCAGAAATAAACTTAAAATAGGAACCTGAAATAAATAGCTTGGGAATAAAGTTTCTGGAAAAGAGCCCAAACTGGTCTATCAGCTTTTATTTACAAAATTGTTGAAAGCTGTTTCTCTAAAAAGAGCTCACTCTCCTGCTTCCCCCGTTGTTCAAATATATCTTAAACTCTGGTTCTTATTAATGATCCACATCCAAACGTCTTTGATGTGGGAGGGACTTAGGGACATGAGAATCCAAGTCCCTGAGACCACAGCAGCAGGACAAGAAAGACCCCGTTTCTTCTCCATTCTAACCCCACAGCCCTTCCATTTCCCACACCTCACAGCCCCAAAGTCCCACTTCCCACCAATCCAATCAGAGGGATGAAATGAGAGATTCACACTGAAAAATCTCTTATGAGGCCAGCAAGCATGCATCCATTTAGAAGGACTGCGTTTTATTGTGTGCTTTTTAGTTTACTTGATTCTGTTGTTTTAAAAAAAAACAAACCCTCCTATCAAGGAGTAGGCCCAGTGTATATAGTTCAAAGCTGGATCCAAAAAGGACAAAAGGCAGCCCCTTTACTCCTCCTCAGCGGGCCCAGCGCAGGGAGGAAGCAAGCCCAGGGCCCCAGCACTGCCAAAGGTCAGCCCGGGCCCCAGTCAATTCACCCTCCACCAACCTCCACATCCACCTCAAATATTTCGCTCATCACCTCCAACCCTGCAACAGGGGTAAGGCCGTACGCTGGGGCGGGACACACACAAGAGTGAGCACCGTAGCTGGCATCAATGTCTAGGGAAAGACACATGAATCCACACCACGATGGCCTGCAACGTGGCAGGTGTGGGGATTAGGAGCCTCCGAGAAGGGGACATCTGAACTGAGGTTCCAAAGTTAGGCAGCAATTTCCAGAGAAGGAACAGGCAGGTAATCAACCCCAGGGAGCAGCGCGGAGCCCCAGGTGTTCAGAGGCTATGAATGCTTTTGTAGGTTTCCAGTCCCTGCATGCCCATAGCTCTCAGCTCTCCACTCCATCCCACGGCAGCCCAGGCCCCAGGTGCCACCCGCACCCACTGCTGGGTCTTCTCAGTTGAAATGGGACCTAGTCCAGAATCTTCCCTTTACATACAGGGAACCGAAGCTCAGAGAAGGTGCTGACTTGCCCGCATTCACACAGCAGGTGTGCGGCAGAGCTGGAACAAGATCTCTGGTCTCCTGACGCCCCTTCCAACATTCCCCCATGGGTCCATCACAGCCACTATTCTTGGCTCTAGGCTAACACGAATGTGCTCCTGGCCCCCAGCCAAGCACACACACTGGTAACCCAGACACCAAGGGCCACAACCAGAGAAACGGGGGTCGGCAGGCCACCCTGACTGGCACAGTCCAAGC